AGGTGCAGTTTGGTACGTATATACTAGCAGAGGAAGCTAAGGACTGATGGGATAACACTCATCAGAGATTGGGAGGTGTTGGCATTGCAATAACTTGGCTATTTTTAAGGAAGAATTTTTGAGGAAGTATTTTCCTGAAGATGTTTGGGGCAAGAAAGAGGTAGAATTCCTTGAGCTGAAACAAGGGAATATGACCGTGGCGGAGTATGTGGAAAAGTTTGAGTCTTTCATAAAGTTTTGTCCGCATTACAATCATGCTGACGCAGAGATGTCAAAGTGTCTCAAGTTTGAGAGTGGGTTGAGACCAGAGATTAAGTAGCAATTGGGTACCAATAGATTCGTCGGTTTACGGGACTAGTGGACAAGAGCAGAATTTATGATGAGGATAGTCGAGCTCGATCTACTCATTACAAGCAGCTAAGTGAGAAGAAAGAGAAAGGTCAATATAGAGGGAAACTGTACGTGACTTCTGGTGATAAAGGGAAGCAGAAGGCTTCAAATGGGAAAAAGCCAAGTGGGGGAGCAGCTACTGCTCTAGGCAAGTGTTATAAGTGTGGCGAGCATGGTCACCGTGCTGAGGTTTGTAGGGCGCTGAGATGTCATCGTTGTGGCAAGAGAGGTCATAGAGCTACTGACTGTAAAGACGAAACTCCGACTTGCTTCAATTGTGGACAGAAGGGTCATATCAGTGCCTAGTGCCAACAGCTAAAGAAGACTGCTACTGCTGCTCAGATAAATGGCAGAGTGTTTGCTTTGAGCGATGCAGAAGAATCCAAGATAGATAACTTGATCAGAGGAACTTGCTTTATTAATGATGTTGAATTGATTGCTATGATTGATACTGGTGCTACTCATTCGTTTATTTCGCTTGAATGTGCTAAGAGGTTGAATTTGAAATTATCTTCTATGATTGGGAGTATGGTTATCGACACCCCGGCTAATGGTTCTGTGACTACTGCGTTAGTCTGTTTGAGTTTCCCTTTGACCACTTATGATAAGAATTTTGTGATGGACTTGGTCTGTCTACCTTTGCATCACATCAATGTTATTCTCGAAATGAACAGGTTGGAGTACAACTATGTTCATATCGATTGCTACAACAAGACTGTGAGGTTCCCAGAGTTTGGTGATGGTGGAGAGCTGATGTATGTATCTGCCAAGCAAGTAGAAGAAATCTTGGAAGATGAGGCTCAGATGTTTCTATTGCTTGCATCATTTCAAGTTGATTATGAAGCAGTGAGCTTGGAACTACTGGTTGTTCAGGAATTTCCAGAAGTGTTTCCAGACGACATGAGTGACTTACCTCCTGAGCGTGAGGTGGAGTTTACTGTTGATGTGATATCGAGCACTAGTCCTATGTCGATGGCTACTTATTGGATGTATGCATTTGAGTTAGGGGAATTGAAGAAACAATTGGAAGAGCTGCTTGAGAAGATGTTTATTCGACCGAGTGTTTCTTCGTGGGGTGCTCCTGTGCTGTTGGTGAAGAAGAAAGATGGTAGCATGAGATTGTGTGTGGATTATCGGCAATTGAATAAAGTAACAATCAAGAATGAGTATCCACTTCCAAGGATTGATGATTTGATGGATCAATTGGTGGGTGCTTGTGTGTTCAGTAAGATTGATTTGAGGTCTGGTGATCATCAGATTCGCGTCAAGCCTGATGATATTCTGAAGACAGCTTTCAAAACGAGGTATGGACACTATGAATATACTGTGGTGTCGTTTGGTGTATCTAATGCACCTGGTGTATTCATGGAGTATATGAATAGGATTTTTCATCCTTATTTGGATCAGTTTATGGTAGTGCTCATTGATGATATCTTGATATATTCTAAGTCCGAGGAAGAGCATGCGCAACATCTAAGAGTGGTATTACAGGTTTTGAGAGACAATAAGCTTTATGCCAAGTTGTCCAAGTGTGAGTTTGTTGAAGGAAGTGAGTTTCCTTGGCCATGTGATTTCTAGTGGAGGAATTGTTGTTGATCCGTCGAAAGTTGATGTTGCAGTGGGAGACTCCAAAGTCTGCTACTGAGATTCAAAGTTCCCTTGGATTGGCTGGTTATTATCGTAGGTTTATAGAAGGATTTTCAAATTTGGCACTGCCATTGACTCAGTTGACTCGAAAGGGTCAAGCTTATGTGTGGGATGTGGCTTGTGTGTAGAGTTTTGTAGAACTCAAGAAGAAGTTGACGACTGCTCTAGTGTTGATTTTTCCAAATCCGAGTGAGTCTTTTGTAGTGTATTGTGATGCATCGAAGATGGGTCTTGGAGGCATACTGATGCAGAATGGTCAGGTCGTTTCTTATGCTTCCAGACAACTGAAGGTTCATGAGAGAAATTATCCTACGCATGACTTAGAGTTGGCCGCTGTGGTGTTTGTGTTGAAATTTTGGAGACATTATCTTTTTGGGTCTAGGTTCGAAGTGTTTAGTAATCACAAGAACCTGAAGTATTTGTTCAATCAGAAAGAGTTGAACATGAGGCAGAGAAGGTGGCTTGAACTTCTGAAGGATTATGATTTTGAATTGAGTTACCATCCTGGTAAGGCTAATGTTGTGGCTGATACGTTAAGTAGGAAGTCCTTACATATGTCGATGCTTATGGTTCGAGAGTTAGGACTGATTGAGTAATTCAGAGATATGAGTTTGGTTTGTGAAGAGACTCCTAACAATGTGAAGTTGAGTATGCTGAAGTTGACTAGTGGTATTCTCCGATAAATCAGAAAAGGTCAAAAATCTGATTTGAGACTGGTGGATCGTCTCACGTTAATCAATAAAGGTAACAGGGGTGATTTTCGGATCTATGAGAATGGTGTAATGAGGTTCAGAGATAAAGTGTGTTCCTGATGTGCTAGAAATCAAGAAGAGCATTCTTGAGGAAGGTCATAGAAGTGGGCTAAGTATTCATCCTGGTGCCACAGATATGTATCAAGATTTGACGAAGTTGTTTCGGTGGCCAGGTATGAAGAAGGGTATTGCAGAGTTTGTGTATGCTTGTTTAACTTGTCTGAAGTAGAAGATTGAACATCAGAGACCGTCAGGTCTAATGCAACCGCTGAATATTCCATAATGGAAATGGGAAAGCATTTTTATGGATTTTGAATCCGGTTTACCGAAGACTTTGAAGGGATATGATATGATTTGGGTGATTGTTGATAGATTTACCAAATCGGCTCATTTTATATCGATGAGGATCAATTATTCGTTGCTGAAGCTTGCCGAATTATATATTGAGAAGATTGTGAAAATGCATGGTATTCCTTCAAGTATTGTGAAAATGCATGGTATTCCTTCAACCACTTTAGATTTCCCCAGTGTTGCTGTCTTTCCCCAGTGAGTAGTTACTCATTGTGTCGCTTCTTTCCTTGTTTGCTTTTGTGGTTGTCTACATTCTTTGCATTTAGCATCTCATCATTACCATCATATTAGATTTCATGGCATGTCAGCATTGCATGATTTTCTCTTATCCTTAGCATAGCATGATCATTGTATCTAAGGGAAAAAATTTCGGTTATCTGTATTTAAATATCTTCCACCATGATTTCATGAGGATTTTCATCACTCATGTCATCCGGTGAGGATATTTAAATAGGGGCAACTGTCATACCCCAAATTTTACCCTCAGATTCTTTGATCTTGTGCATATCATTCTAGATTAATCATATTGCATAACTAACCAATTTATCAGTTTTTGTTTGTTTGTTTCACTTGCAACAACAGGGTTGAACTTCAGAAATTTCAAAGGTGATTGAAATAGAGTTTTGGGCAGGAGGTTTTCATTGAGTTGGATTTCTATTACTCGGACGTTACTTATTTTGGTTGGTATTAAGTTAAGGCAGAGGTGTTGGATTTTCAATTGTCATGAGCAGGTCCTATCAGAGGTTCACCAAGGCATAGTTCCGAGTTCTTAGAATAACCACAAGGATATCATTTGTTAGAGATACATCAATGGTTTAATTGGAAGAGCCTTGAATCGAGATTCTGGAAAATTAGGGTTTCTCACCTTGGAATTTATGATTAATAAGTCTCGTTCAGTTAAGTTTCTCCTGAGGCGAGCATATTGGTGATGCATAGCTGAGGATGACCAGATCAGGGTCAATATCAGATTTAATTCATCGGGTGAAGTCAGGTTGCAAGGTCTTGGTCTTATGACTCAAGATTTGTGAAGTCGAGGTTTTTAAGTGTTGTGGAGGTATCACAAAATATATCCATTCCCGTAACCAGCTTTTCATTCCAAATGATCCAATTTTAATCCAATCACCCATTTCTTCCTAACCCAATTCCATTCCATAACCATTTTAAACCCATTTCCCATGTTTCATTTCAATTACCCATGTTTCTTTATCCAATTATTCAAAATCCATTAAAGATACTTTTTAGTCCGTTATCCGTTTTAAATCCATTTTCTACACCCATACATTATCTATTTAAAATTCCATTTCAATAATCCATGATCCATTTCTTGTTTGCAATTCAATTTGTCCACTTTTATTGTAATCTTTCACAAGTATTTCAAGCCATGACAAAGCCCATCAACCAACTATCCATCTTTGTTATCAATTACCACAAAAGTCCAAGTTACACACAAGGCCACATCCATCAATGAACCATCACCCATGTCATCGCAGCCCCATGACAGACTCAACTACCCACGTTTTAAGCAATGCATACACTGAGAATTGTGATACCCTGTAAAGCATTTAGTTATTATTTATTAATGGCTAGTTTGTTTTTCAAGTTATATCAGCTTGTTACTTTTTGGGTCTATTAAATATTTGTTGCATTGTGAAGAAAGTGTGCTATGTCCTGTGTGATGACAACTTCATGAGCAGAGTGCCTTTGTTTTACAAGGAAAATGAATGATGGTGTTTTCCACGCGGTCTTTGATGACTCTTGAAAGAAAGAAAAGGAAAATCCAACATAGTCAGCAGTCTTTCATTTCCCCAAGCCTTACAAACTTTCACCAAAATTGTGTGTCCTGCTACAATATATAAGGCGTTAAAAAAGAAAACCAAATGAGCCACTGCTACTTGACAGCAACAACACATCTCCACGACAGCTACAAACCGCTGCAAAACACATCCCAATACCCTGCGGAGTTCTGCACACATCAAGAAATTCTGTCATGACTGCTATAAAAAACCAACCTTACAATAAAGCTCCATGAAGAAAATTCTGCATACTTTGCAATACAACCCAAAACCATGCTCAAAAAAAACCTGCGGTACCTGTACATGAAAACAACACAACATGTCAAAACTGCACCCTGTACTAACCTGCTGCATCTGTTCAAGCAAGACCAAACCTGCACCACAATGAGACAAAACCCTTGATCAACACAACTGATAAATCTGCCCTGAAAATGACTTCTCAAAAGCTAACAGGAATTTAGTTTTGAATCATTTTAAAGAGAACAAGATAAAGGTGAGAAAGGGGATGAAAAAAGAGGAGAACATTGACGATCTTCATGATGTTTTGAGCAGAAAAAAAAACACATGCCACAAACCTCAAAAGCTCTTGACAAAATACAGACCCTACATTATACCAGGGGGGACTCACAACTCAGTTTCTTCCTCTCCATTGATCTTCGAGAACCCTGGAAATAAACTTCTTCAACAACTTCACAGCCTGAGTAACTCTTAACCTTCTCATCAACTTACCATGTGAGCCACTGACGTACTCCAATCATTTTCTCCACAATATTCATAATAGCAGCCCTGCGACACCCTCCTTTCCACCCTCAAACCTTTGCTGCATTTTTTTTTACCTTCTTAAACAACACCTAAACTCCTGCTGAACCCATAAAAATCTGTCACAAAAAAAAACATCAGCTCAAACACCATGTAATCACTAGAGATTAAATATAAAAACACCTCTCTCACTTACATCCTTCATTACCGTAACACCTGCGAAATCACAATCTTAACAGTCATCCTTCATGTTCTGTTATCACCTTTCTTTTTTTCTTTCTCTTTTCTCCAGCTCTCTTTTCATCATTTTTAATAAAAATCAATAACCACCATGAGCATACTATACCAACACCATGTTTCAAGATAAACGATAACAATTTGGATCTCGCTTCGATTGGCTCTATTACACCGCAGCTTCAAACTATTTCACCGTGCATAAATCGAATATAGTCGGAACGGTTCCAATGAATGATGTCCTACCGAGTTCCACCAGATTGAAGATACGCTTGTAATTCTTGTATGCAATAGAGGACTCATTCATTACAAGTTAATAGGAGTTCTTTATGATTTCTTGTCACAATAAGTTTCTACAACAATCAGCTCAACAACAGCGATATCGATTCGATGTCTCCATTTCAGCTTCATCTCTCTTTCCGTTCTAGAAACACGAGTCAACAATAATAATGTCGATCTCACAACGAGTTCGACAATTCTTCAGATCCGCAGCGACACCGTCACAACTCAGTTTCATTTCTTTCCAACAACAATTGTAGTGGTTTAACATGTCGGCTATGGGATGTAAGAACTAGTCATATAGTTGAAACGCTTGACACCAAGTCACCTGTGAAAGTCAGTCAGGATGGTCATTATATTACAACAGTCGATGGTTCTACTGTCAATTTTTGGATTGATGAAGGAGCAGATTCCGTAGATTCATATACGCTTTCTAGCTCCATCAACTCTCAAAGCAGCAACAACATCAACGTTACCACCATCACCGACAACTCATAACTCAGAACCAAGTAACAACCTTCAAAACAAGTTCACAACATTGATTTCACAAAAGTTTGCACGTGTTTCCGGTTTCGACATCGTAAACCATAACCAAAACCTCTTCACCACGGTTTTCCACATAATTTTTGAACCCTTTTCATCTTCACATCATCACCAGTTCTTGATACCTCCAACAAACAAAACCACCATAATTTTCTCCTTCACAAATTCTTCATAAACTCCATCAGTCACGAACACATATCAAACTCACCATGGATCCATCGTGAAATCTTCACCCAACTGCAATTACTTCCTAAACCGCACCATTTTCTAATCATCTCTCTGCTTCACGCAAGCTTAGAACATCCTATCTCAAAAAAAAAATCTTCTTCTATCACATTAACAACAACCTGCTCCCAATCACCATTACAATAGCAGCGACCCCCTTTTAGCAACCCTTGTTCAGATCCTCACAATTCATCAACCACCAAATTCATCCTTTTCAACCTTCTTCCGTGTTTTTTTACTGACCGTCATCTTCACGCATTTCTTTTCCGGACCAGACACCACCAACTTGGCTTCGCAATAAAAACCTTTATCATACCTCATCAACAGGTTCATCATCTCTGCTTCAACATTGTAGAGCAACCCATTCAGCATAAAAATCTGTGAATCACGAGTTAGATAAAGCTGAGGAAGAACATAGGAGAAAAGAAGGGATACTTACAAATTGATCGTCGTCGCCAGAATAAGGGAACCACCGCATCAGAATTCATCCCTGGTACGTATCTCCAATTTTGAGCTTGTTTATCTGTGAGCCTTAGATCCTAGAATGCATTCCTCTATGAAATCTTGGGCGTTAGAAGGTGAGCTTTGATCGGAGGTTTGCGAATCGAGAGAATAGGAGATCGATTGAGAAGAGCCAAACCCAGAGAGGTCCGTCGTGTGAAGAGAATGAGAAGCATACCGAGATTGGTTCAAAGGAAGATTTGAGTCGCGATTTGAGAAGTTAAAAGAGCGTTCGGTCGTTGTCGTTGCGTCAATTTGTTGTGGTTTCCATTGATGTTCAAGCTTGAGCTCCGTTGTTTCTCCCCTTTCATGCTCACTCGATGTCAGATTTTCTTCATCTCTTTCCGTTGTCATCCAGATCGGGTCATGCGGTCAGGACCCTTCATGTCAACTTCCAACTTTGGATTTGGGCCGTTTCTTTCCTTCAGCCCATATCAGTTTTGCTTTTTGGTTGGTTATGTTTAGTTAGTTTTTGGCTTAATACTTTTTTTAATTAGTAGTTGGCCATTTTAAGTTGTGATTGAATTTAATAGTTGCTAGACGAATTAGTTAGTTTTTTTTTACTTAATAATTTCTAGGTTAATTAATTAGTTTTAATTTGATAGTTTCTAGGTTTGTTATTAGTAGTTTGATAAATTCAATTATTGATGATTAGATCACTAGTCAATTTGATTTCCAATTTTATGAGGTTGAAGTTTTGACTTTGGTTTCGACTCTCCCATTAGCCTGTTCATATCTTATATTTATTATTTATACTTTGTGTGGTTGTTTGCTTTAGTTTTTGCCTTCTCTTGACGTTCCAAAGGAAGGGTTTCTTGTTGACTTGTAAGTCATACTCTTAGGATAGTTTAGTAGTTTTTCTGTCCTTCTCTTGACCTTGTTAGGATCTCCCTCTTGGCCTCGTTAGAGCCATTTTACCTTGCAATTTAGAACTAGGTTTAGAGTTTGTAAACTCTACGTGAGCATCATCGTTATGATTACTCACTTTCCCCTTTTTGACTTTCGTTAAAGTCAATCTTATTTAGTTTTCAACTTAGACTTAGGGAGTTCGTAAACTCTATGTAAGTACCATGGTTATGAGTACTTCTTCCCCTTTGGAACCTTGATCGTTATCAAGAGTTCCTCATCCCTAGTTAGGTGAACTACGGTTGCTCTGATTCCATCCTTGTAAGGATACGTAGGCACAAGATGCGACGTCTTAGCAAGCATACTTAGTGTATATACCCTTAGGTCTTTACCTTAGCAATTTTACCTTAGCAAGCAAACTTTAACATAACACAAATACTAACAAGAGGTTCTTGTAGAGTACTACAGATACTTAGGATGCTAACACCTTCCCTAGGTATAACCAACCCCCGAACCTTAGATCTCTTGCTTCGTTGTTACGTAGTGCACTTAGGTTTTTCTTCGATCTTTACCCTTTCCTTTGGATAAATCAAAGCTCGGTGGTGAACTTCATGTTTTGTGATTCAAGTTAATTAATAGCTTGATATCCGATTCTCACCGCAACAGAAATGGTGACTTCACTGGGGAAAGAAACCCCTAAGAGGGTTAAACCCACCTTGTTTGTATTTGTGTTATTTTATATGTTTGCTTGCTTGTATATCTGCATATTTGTAAATATCTGTATATATATATCTGCTTGTGTTGGATTTTTTGTATGCAGGGTTGTTACCTTGAGTGGTGAGGAAGTCTTGTACCCGGACTTGAGTGCACTTATGATAGGATGGTGGTATATTCAAGAAGGCTTATAGGGAGTTGATTCCCGACTAAGCTGACTTGAGAAACCACCGCTCAGTGAAGGCCCTTTTGGGAGTAGTTTTGTTGAACGAGTATTCGTGAAAACATTACTACTTTCGACCTAGGAGCCTGTGACACTGAGGACCTTTAGATTACCTTTTACCCCACTTTGGCCTTGTTAGGACGTAGTGCGATGACTATTAGGGAGTAGTCCCGAAGTAGTTGATACGCGATGCTACACTTGGATGAGACTCTCTTGAGAATATTATCAAATACCGAGTGATTTGGGAAATTGATAATATCCGAAAAATGGGTTGTTGACTCAGGGAACCTCTTAGAACCCTGTTCTGCAGATTACCTTTTTATGAGCTTGTTTGTTTACCCTTTTTATGATTGTATGGAATTTCATTGTAAATTTTCATTTTAGAGTTCATACGGTTTTCAAATCAATTTCTTTCGATACACTAAATTTAAATAAAGCTGGTTAATATCATTCAATTCCTCATCAAATTTCCATCAAGTTTCATTTTTTACATTGTGCCATTTGGATGTGTATTCTGAGAGATAACACTTGGAGAAGATGAAAATGATGGCCATGGCACTATATTTCAAAAATAAAATGAATTTTTATAATATAATTATTTTGATTAAAATAAATACATGGATGTATTAGCACCCCAGTGGTTGAAGGTGTGTGTTTAAGGATTTGTGTTATCCTTAGGTCTGGGGTTCGAATCCCCCTCGCCCCAGACCTTTTGATTTTATTTTTTAAATCATTTTTTAAAGGCTTTTTCATATATTATTTTCATCTGCCATTCTTTATCAGTCAAATGCACATGGCTCAGATGGTAATGTTTTAAACTCTCCACCCCAAGAGCGTAGGTTCAAACCTTGGGAGGGCCATCCTTATTTTTATCACCTATTTTCTTCACTTTTCTTCACAAATTCATTCAATTCTTTCACTGATCAAATTTAATCTTTCTGAGCCAATTCATTCTTCATTCATCTTCCCTATTTTAGGAATCCATGAAAAAAAGTTGAAAATAACTTTTTTTTAATCATTTTTATTAGGTTGAAAAGTAGTAGATTTTAGATGTTTCGTACCTTAAAAAATGAATTTCTTTTTATTCTTTCCTTAACCTAATTGATCATGATTATTTATGTTGATAATATGCTTTGTTTAAGTTTTGTTTAAGGTACATAACATGTTTGTATTAACTTAAAAACTATTCATATCATGTTTAATTGATTTTTTTGGAAAATACTTTTGATTAAATGTTTAATTAGGGTTTCACTTTGATTAAACTTTCAAAACATCTTTGTACATAGTTAGGACTTCCACTTGAGTTTGAATTCCCCAAAGCCCTTG